TAGAATAAAGGAACGAAATATATCGCGTTTAAAATGGAAAATCGTCGGCACGAAGTCACGAACAAGCGACTGAAAGACGATCTCGATCGCGCGCGATCCAAGTTAGAATACGAAAACTATTGACTTGGCCTCGTCTATATTTATTATTACCATTGTTATTACTACTACTGTTGCCAAATATTGTTACTATAACTAGTTGAGTTAAGCCGAAGGAACGCGCGTGCCGAATCCATTCTTGAGACAATCAAGAGACACGAAGTCTGTTCACGTTGCCTGAAATCTGCAAAAATGTTTGCACTTAATAAAGGAGATAAATATACATATATTCAGATGTTGAAAAGAGAGAAAGTGAAGATGCTAAGTGCAAAAAGCACGAGCAACGCGGACGGATCTAATCTGACAACACAAAGTCGAAAATTGGAATAAAAGATGTCTTTTAAGCACTTTAGGTGTTATACTACTCTCTGAATTTTTTAGAATGGAATTTCACTCTAAAGAATGAAAATTGAGTCAGTCTTGTAAAAGAGTCAATTTTAAGAGCAAGATTTCAGTCTTTAGAGTAAAATCCACGTTGAAAGTTTTAGGGAATACGCATTGGAGACTAAAGATTGCGAATTAAAGACAAGAATTCGAGCAAGATAATTTTTATTTTTATTTTATTCTGATTGGCTGAATTCTAATCTTCAATCCTCCTTCTCCAATGTAATGTGACACGAGCTTTAGACGGTGCTCGTAAAAATAAATCTTACGTCTCAATTTTAAATTTTATGTTATCTAAATAATGTCAAGCATCAAACTCCCAGCAAACACCAACTAACACTAACATAACTGTTAGTTATAATTTCCCACTTAACAATATAACTGTACTCTAAATTTTTGGAGTGGAATCTCATTCTAAAGAGTGAAAATTGAGCCAATTTTAAAAGAGTGGCTCAATTTTCAATCTTTAAGAATAAGATTTTATTTTTCAGAGTGAGATTTACTCTAAAAAGTTTAAAGAGTAATTCAACACATCACAGTTCTCAGCAAACAACTAAAATTAACATAACTGTTAGTTCTATTTAATTTCCCACTCAACAATATAACTGTAATATAACATGTTTTGAGTGAGAAATTATATTAATAATTAAGGAGCAGACTTTCAAAATGTTTTGTCCAAAATTTGTAATTTTCAGGAAACGAGGAAGAAAGAAACTCCGCATACAAGAACATTACGCACTTTACAGAAAATAACAATATGCCAATCAGTAGGATGTGAAATATTAAACAAAATTGCTAAACAATTACTAAAAACATTAAATAAATGCATTTTGTTTGTTTCTAGTTAAAAAACATAATGCACTTTAAAATGTCTATGAATTTTCAGCATATAAATTAACGATGAAAAAAATGCTTTCTGAACATCTCAGAGTAGCTCATAATATGACTTAACACTGAACTACGCCATTTCTAACTAAAAAGTGAAATTTTGGACAAAACGCATTTTGAAAGTCTGCTCCTCAATTATTGTTAGTCAATATTAGTTAGTGATTGCTGAATTATATTATGAGGAAAGTATAACTAGCAAACGTTGCTGTTAGTTGGTGTTTGCTGGAGTAGTATTTTACACGATGTAATCAATCAATTCAATTTACCAGTAACTCGCCATTACTTGAATTCGCTGATGCATTTCCAGTATATTTGGCGAGAATAATCAATGAAGGAGGTAATGAAGGAGGGCACCCGCATTCCTTCGTTATTTATGAATCGCCGAAGTCCGACCGTTTCTTCGAGAGAAACGCAATCGCTTCTTTATTTATTTAACTAACAATTATCTCGTAGAGCTTTGTGGTATTATCTCCCTCCCCTCCTACCTGTAAATTAATGCTCTTGCGCTTAATTCATAATCTATCGATGATGCTTCCTTCTACTTCCATATTTATATATTTGTCAATTGAACGCACCTTTCCAGGTCCGATTCGTTAATTAAATTCGAATAGGGACACAAATGAGAAAGAAAAAAAAATTATAAAAATAAGTAGAAAAAGGAAACGTTCCGATATACGACGCGCGAATCGGCGCATGTACCTCAAACAATGCTAACGATAATAAACTGTATCATCATAATTCTCCTCGTTTATTTATCCCGTTTTTATTTATATGCGTCTAGATGACCCCATGATGTAAAAATATTAAGTGTAACATTCTGGTGGAAGCGCAGTTGTTCAAAGTAATGGTGTTTGCTGGAGTAGTGTTCTACGCGATGTAATCAATCAATTCAATTTACCAGTAACTCGCCATTACTTGAATTTGCCGATGCATTTCGAGTATATTTCGCGAGAATAATCAATGGAGGAGGTGATGAAGGAGGACACCCGTATTCCTCCATTATTTATGAATCGCCAAAGTCCAACCGTAAAACATTCGTGACCAACCAGAAATTGGCTCCAAAGACGGCATTTTTAATTAAAAATTTAAGCCCAACAGTTTTATCGACACGAGTTTTACGTATTATTTTGATGATGGCGATAACCAACAATATATTACAGAATCTGTATTAACTAAGGTTAAATTATTTTTGAGATTTGAGTAAGAACGACAACGAATTGCATAGGAGAGGCACAAAATGTTAATATTAATCTTGATTTTAAATTGAGATTTAAATATAATAATCTATTTAATATTAATTATAAATATTTATTTTCTTACATTTATCATAGAAAAAATGTTTATTATGAAAATAAGATTTATAATTGCATAATAAAAAAATTTATAGTTTTAATTATACATTTGTTCCTTTAACAATTTTTTCATTAACTTTACTTATATTTATATAACAATTAATTTGAGAGATTTAAGTAGTTTAATTAAAAGTATTTATTTGTGGAATTGAAATTATATTAATTTAATCCTGCCAAATTATATTCAGCTATCATTACATCTGACATCATAGATGATAAGTTTGAATGTTGAAATATTTCTCCTTGCAGCATTCATTCAAAAAGTAACATAATATTATCACGCAAAAAGTAATTCCAGTGTGGAACGAGGTTGCTTGCTTGAGACGATTTTTACGGGAAACGCGACGGAGAAGAATTGGAATTTATATACCTGTAACAATTAATGTTTTGTGATGAAAGTGATTGTTATGGAGATCGAAGCTACAATTTCTTTTACGACGATATTAAAGACACCCACACAGCATACCTGACTGTTTGGCGACTGTAAGTCGACATTTTTTCGTCAGCTTGAAGTCGACTTTTAAAGTCGACATTTAGCAGACTTTTTCTAGAATGGATTTGTCGACTTGTAAAAGTTGACTTATAGTCAGCTATTCGCGTTCTCTATGAACACCTTAATTAATTGAGACCCCGCGTCCCTCGGCCTTTCCTTTTTGATTGCCTCTGACGATCTGCAGAATGATCTAAATAAGGTGCGTTAAAATCAAAGGTAATCCTTTTTTTTCATATATATTTATAGTAAATATGAAATACGATAAGGAAAGATAATTGTATATACATTTTAGTATAATTTTTTGGTGCATCATTTTATATATTTCCAACAATTAGTATATATATCAAGGTTTAAGGTTATGTTGTAAAAATCGCGAAAGTTGACTTAAAATAATTGACTTGAAGTCGACTATATAGGCTGACTGATGGCCGACTATAGTTGAGACATTTGTCGTCTCTTAGGCCGGTATTCATAGTCAGATCTTATATTCAAGACCATCTTAAGAACGGTCTTAAGAAGTCACGAACCAATCAGAGGGTTGCATTAGCGTCTTAAGACATTACTTAAGACGGTCTTGAAATAAGAATCGACTATGAATACCGGCCTTAGTCGACTAAAAGTTGACATTTAGGCCCGTTTCTACCAACGCAGATTAACTTTAATCTCGGTTCAACTTACTCTTTGTCTTTTTCTAGTTCTAAAGATTAGAAAAAGACGAAGAGTAAGTAGAACCGAGATTAAAGTTAATCTACATTGGTGGAAATGGGCATTAGTCTGACTTTAAAGTCGACTTTAGACTCCTTCTGCCGACGGACAGTCAACTCATAGTCGACTTCGTGCTGTGCGGGCAACGTTTCAACAATAGCGAATTTTGCAATAACGGTAGACAAAATTGATATTTCTGAAAATGACGTTCGAAAAACGTTTGGTATCTGAAGAATCTGAAGAAATCGAGAACTGGAAAATTGAACGAGCGCACAAGAAAACGAATCGGAAATGATCGGAAAGTGCATCGTTGCGCCATCTACCATAAAGATGGGAAGGAAAACGAGAGAGGTAAAGGGCTCCGCACAATAAAAGGAACAGAATAAGAATTTCAATCTATCAAAAATCATGTATTGTGGAATACACAATTTCTGATAGGTTGAAATTCTTATTCTGTTCTCTGTTCCCTGTTCCTTTTAGTGTGCAGAGCCCCTAAGGTGTGCGGTATGATAAATACATATATAGCTATCTTCGATAATCGCGCCCTTTGATCATTGCTTCGTAACGTACCTACTTTTCAGAAATATTGAAAAAATCTACATCTTTTCTTAAAATTTTTCTGTATATGAATTCTGTGAGACATGTAGATTTCCTTGACACTTCTGAAAAGTGTTCCTATTTGTATTAAAAAAGTATAAAAAATTATATATATATAAAATTATTCATAAAAATTCTGAAAAATCCTAAAAATTTAAAATATAAGAATCTGAAAAAAATTATTAACGGACATTGAGATTTTTAAATATGATAATATACACTGCGTGTATATTATAGCTCGCAAGACATCTATAATAGTATAGAATAATATAATATGAGCCAATATGGAATAATATTAAATATAATATCAAAAAGAACTAGAGCACTAACTAAATGCAGGAAACCTTCAAGCTGACGTTTTTCCCTAGTCAGACAAAATAACCTCTTTGACTGACATGTTCACGTACTGCGCTGTTTGTCTCGAATCTCTCCGTCTATAATTTCTGTCCGTAAAAATCCGTGAATGACAAGCGATGAACACTCACCGAAATAAGATAAAGTTTCTACGCCGTTCTGCGACAAGATAATTTTACGGGTTTTGCGCTATTTTACGTACTCTGTGACACAAGAAGGTTACGAATCGTTACGAAAACGTGCGCGCGCGTTTACACTGTGTATAACAGCGTTGCCAACCTCCGCATTATTAAAAATCGTACCAACAATACAAAATTATCGTATTTTGATTAAAATTATCGTACATTTTTTTTTTGTTAGATAGATATACATTTTTATTAGCTCTGTTCGCGTTGCTTGCACTTTTTGCATTCAGCATCTTCGCTTTCTCTTTTTTTAACGCCCAAATATATATCTATCTCATTTTAAGTATAAAAATTTTTGGGTTTCAAGCAACGCAAACAGATCTATATTGAATAGATATATTTTTTAATGAAAAAAAAATAACAATACTGAATATTTGTAAATATTTATTTTTAAAATTAAAGTTTTTTTTTTAAGACAAAGAACTTGTAATTATAATCTCACTAGAAAATTTTTTTAAGTATTACATTTATATGTCTTCTTCGTTATACATAAATTATATAAATTATAAAACACTAGGAAACATTTTTTTAAATTTTAGGTACATAAATATTTACTTAACTTTGGTTATATGTAATAGGAACTATATAGGAAACATAAACACTAGAAAATATTTTTTTTTAATTATTACATACGTAAATCATTTTGGTTATATAGAAAAAAAAAACAATAAGGAACAACTTTTAACCTTTTGAGGACGGGACTGGCCAGTATACTGACCAAGTGACCGCTCACAAACTTGGCGACCCTAATCTAATATATTATTGTATATTTTACCATATTTAAATTTTAAACAAAGTTAGTTCTTGTTTCAATTCTCTGAAGCGGATTGGACTCTAATTTTTTAATAAAAAGTGTACTTTTCATGCCATTAACAGATGTGAGATGAATCAGAACGGACGCGATTTCACTGACCATATACCGTTCTATATGTGCGACTGCGTATTTCTCGGGGCACCTTATTTGATCATATTGTGATTGTCCAATGTCCACCAGCTAATCCTAACCTAACCTAACGACCAGTGCCTAGGAATTTTCCTTGCTCTAGCACTGTGGCTGATGGCGCCTATTTGACCAGTCGGTAAAACATTGTCGACGGTTATCATCGAAGAGTGTTCTCTTAAAATTTAATCAAAATTGCCAAATTATCATACTTTTACGTACGATCTCACTCTTTGGATCGTACATCGTACAAAGATCTATATTATCGTATTTGTACGATCAAGATCATACGGTTGGCAACGCTGGTGTATAACGAAGATACCAGCCTCGCGCAAACTGTTTGTTTACCAACGTCTTGTAGTGGTCACACTGCGTCTACATGCACACATATAGGCTCGTCTACAATACACGGAGTAAGAAGTAAGAGTAAGAAATTGACCAATCACACTCGAATGTGAGAAGAATAATCGACTGTGATTGGTCAATTTCTTACTCTTACTTCTTACTCCGTGTATTGTAGACGACGCCTGTGATTGGACAATTTCTTACTCTTACTTCTTACTCCGTGTATTGTAGACGACGCCACACAAATAAGTAATCTCTAATAAAAACTCTTAGGGCCCAGACACAAGCTTTTGCATAACGCATAACGCATAGTGCATAAGCGAATCAACTAATCAAAGCTTTCCTTTCCTCTCATTCCATGGAAAAGAAGAATTTCGATTAGTTGATTCCATTATGCACTATGTATTATGCGTTGTGCAAAAGTTTGTGTTGCGGCCTTTACATAGATATATCTTACGTAGATACAATACGATAAAAAATTTTTCATGCATGAATAAATACATGCATATATATATAGATGTATATAACATGTTATATAGGTAAACATGCAGTGACGAATTAAGCATTTTACCGCCCTTATGCCTGTTCTACAATAGGATCGCAAGTCGTTAGCCGTAAGAAATTGGCCAATCACAGCTAAGTGTGAGAGAATAATCGGGAAAAGCACCCAGTTGGACACGGCTCAATTGGACATGAGCCACTGACAGCGCTTGAGACTACAAAGCTCCTAAGCACCGGTCGCTGTAATTGGTGGTGTCCAATCGAGACGTGGTCAATCGGGATCACCCAGAATAATCGACTTGGTTAATTTCTTACGGCTTATCGCTTACGACTCTGTTGTAGAACAGACCTTAGGTACCAACATCTATAGCCGCCCCCAGGGCTACGTTCGGATTCCCACCTGGGTGCTCCCCGGATGTCATATCATCCTTGTTGTTTACCAAACGTTAAATAAGGATGACATGACAGCCGAGGAGCGCCCGAATGGGAATCCGAACGCAGCCCAGGATATCAATACCGATGAGATACTATTAAAGACCGACAACCCTGGGTAAATTTTCGGTGGTATAAAAAGGGCCCGGAGGGGCCGGAGGTAATTGTAGAGCGTTGTCATTATCGACTGCTTTGGCTGCTCCAAAGATAAATTTTACCTCATGTAATGTACTGTTTTATCAGAAATGTATTAAGGGGATGCTAAACCGATTACCCAACTCAATCAAGGTCGATAGTAGACTTTTTTAATTCCAAATTCGATAATAATGGTGACATCTTTGATTTAGTTTTTACCTTTGACTATATACCTCTGGACTGCTAACGGCAGCCATTACTGGAA